TATATATATATATCACAAATAACTTGTTAACTACATTAAGATCATGTTTTGAATCGCAGGTCGCTGATATGTATGGAGGAGAGTGCGTTTGGAGCCCTACCAGTGAACCTCCCTGAAGATTTGACAAAAATACGCATAGAAAAATCTCACTTTACTGAAATTCCCAGAAGGGCTTTCTCCACATCGAGCTCTCTGGAGAACCTTTGGCTGAACTTTAATGACATTACTTTAATAAACTCAAAGGGTTTGGAAGGTTTGGGCAACTTGACGGAACTCCGTTTGCAGGGGAACAAGCTGCGCTCAGTACCATGGACAGCGTTCGAGGACACGCCGTCTCTGAAGATCCTGGACCTGAAGCACAACCAGCTGGACGTCCTGCCGGAGCACGCCTTGAAATTCCTGCCAGATCTCACGTACTTAGACTTGTCCTTCAACCGGCTCACGGTCATCTCGAGGGAGGTCTTTCAGAACTGGCCCCTTTACCAAAAACTGCAGAGCGTGGAGGACCGGGAGGTGTCCGGGCCGAACGTCGTCCTGGCGCTGCACGACAACGCCTGGCTGTGCGACTGCCGCCTGAAGGGCTTCGTGGAGTTCGTCTCGTCCCTGAGCCCCCCCATCATTCTGATGAACTCCTACTTGACCTGCTCAGAGCCGGGCTTTAGGGCCGGGAAGTTCTTCCACGAAATCGAGCTCCGGGCGTGCATGAAGCCGGCTGTCAGCACCTCCACGACCAACACGAGCCTGGCGCAGGGCTCCAACCTCACCCTGCACTGCACGGCCAAGGCCCGGCCGGAGCCCGCCGTGTGGTGGACATATGGCCTGAAGATAATCAGAGGATTTCATGGTAAGTGTCTAATGTCCGTGGCGTGTCATCCACACTGCAGATAATGCGATAAATTTGGACAAATTAGATGCTTAAACACACATTTTTAATCACAGATCTCTGTAATGCGTCTTTAAGATGAGAGGGCTGCATTTTTGTGGTCCACACTAATAAATAATCCCCACTCTGTCAGTCTGCACCAAGTCATCAGAGTTTATTTAGATTATTAAAAACTGCAAAGTAAAGCTCATTTCAGTTGACATTTATATAGGAAAAATAATACAAAACATCAGCTGAAAAATAATAAAAATGCTATTTTTATGTCTCTGTTGTACAAAAACCAGGTAATAGGAAGATAGAGTGTATTTCTGGGACCAATAGAATTAAAGTTACTGAATAGTGTTGGAATAAAATGAGAGAGTGAGAAAATTGTAAAGGGTGAACATGTTCCAAAAGCTCAAACTACTTCATCAAAACATATTTTAATCACACAAAATACACAGGTTTTTTTGGACATGAATAACTTGGGTTTAATTTAGCTCGGTTATTTAAGTTGCTGCCAAAGCAAAACTTCTGTGTGCAACACAAGTCCACAATTGAATTAAGTAAATCCATCATGTTTTTTTTTTAGTTTAGGAGATTATACAAAGCTATTTTGACTTTTTAAGAAAACACGTAAATAATAATGGCAAATGAGGTATGAAAAACAGCTGGAGAAACATTTCGCAGTGAGTTATGTTAATTGACAACAGCACATTTGGTCTGAATCAAAAAGCAAAGGTCCTGTAAAAGCATAACATTTTTCCAACTTTTAAAAACTGATCAAAACAGAAGATGTCTACTCTGAAGGTTTAATAAAAAGTCTTTTGGACATATATAATGCTAAAGATTAGCTCAAATAACCTATAGGAGTAAATTTGGCATTCATTTTTTTCACAAATTGGCACAAGTTGTCTAAAATGCTATTATATGACAGGACCGATGTGACATAAATTAAACATTTTTTAATGATTCCCCCTTTTATAAAAGTTCTGACTAACTGCTCAAATAATTACTAATCAGTTTCTCTACAGACATGGTCTTTTTAAATACCATGGCAAGTGAATAGTCTGAAACTGAATATCAGAGTTGACTTTTGTGTACTGTTGTTTGTAGGTCAGGATAAAGGGGAGTGGGGGCCCCTTGGTGTACATATAATATTGATTATGTGTCCATGACTTCAAGGTTTCTAGTCACACAGAGCAGAACTGCTTTATTTAAAGTCTGAAGTACAAAAGTTGACTCTGTCCCAGTTTGATTTTTAAAATAATTGTTGCACAGACCACGACTGGATCTGGACGCTTTCACTAAAGTTCAATACATTTTTAATGGAGCATGACGGATATTTAAATGTTTCTTTTTTGTACTTAGTCTGATTGCACACACAGTTCTTTTGGAATAATTAGGGATCTGTTTTCTTATCTCCCCAGAATCTCAGGAAAGAGTGTCTGATGACACGATTAGATCCCTCCTGGTGATCCCCTCCCTCAGTGCAGCTGACCGAGGTGTCTACACCTGCACTGCAGTGAACTTCATGGGGAACTCCTCAGTCAGCATCTTCCTGGACGTCCTCACCGCTGACAGCAGCCAGTCACCCTAYGCTCCAGGTCGCCCGGCTCCACCAGGAGCTCGAAATGAAAACGTCTTCATTGACATCCGCATCGCTAAACAGACTGTGCGTGGGATCTCCATCGAGTGGTTCGCTGCTCTGGATCACCCCTCAGAAACGTGGTTCACCATCCACTTCGGTCGCGCAGACGCCGATAAAAAAGAAACGACCTACATCGGGCCTGGGATTCACTCGTACTCCGTCTCAGATCTGATGCCCGCCACCAAATATGAAATCTGTGTAACCCTCAAGAACCAGACGCCACAGCCAGGCCAGTGTATCGTGTTTGTGACAGGAAGTGACATCACGGAGATGGAGCAGAGGGAGAAGCTCATTCACATAGTGGTGATAGTTTTAGCCATGGTGCTGGCCGTGCCTATAGGCATGTACGCCTGCACCACCGACACTAGGTTCGTGTGTGTGGAGGTGATCATGGAGTCCTGGAAGAGACGCCAGAGAGAGAGCAACTCCCTTGTGATGGAGCGAGAGCGGCAGGGCACCTTCGACAGTCTGCAGGCCGCCAGCGATGAAGGGCTGGTCAATAAAGATTCGAGTGAAGACAGGAAGGTGAGGAGGAGGTCAGACGACAGGCTGCACAAAGGCAAAGCTGATCACAGCAGACTCACAGCTGAACTATATTAACTTTTAATGAACAGAGATTATAAAGGGAAGATCAGTCAGTATTAAACAGTTTAAAAAATGGGGGGGGGGGTCACCTTATTGGTGCAGACGTTAACTCAGATATGAAACTTGAAAGAAGTTTAATTTTTTTATGGTTTTGCTTTCGTGTTGATTTAAACATTCAGATTTTTTTTTACTATAGTCAGAAAACGAATGAAAAGAATGCAAAAAAAGAAACATACAAAATTACTTCTGAATAAGCAATTTAACTGGACAGAAATTGTAAATGTGTAGAAATTTCAAAGAGCTGAAATTAGGTCCAAGATGCTAACTTTTCTGAAGAAAAAAAGACAACATAACAAAATGGACAATGTTGCTCTGTTTTCTTGTTGGTAGTCATAATCATATGGCGGAATATTAATCTGGGTGTAACAGAAGCAAACAATGACCCCCGGTCCATACACACGTTTTATAAATGTAGCACTTTTGTTTTAATCTATAACAACAATGTATTTAATATTTAATTGTTTTTTTCTTCTAATTCTTAAAATAATAATGATATATTTTCAATTGAACTATAGGCTACCTTTAGGACGTGACATAATCAGATTATTTCTTTCACTCTTGTCATGCAGGAAGTAGTGGCTCAAAAATGATTTACAAAATTTAAAATCACTTTTATCAGTTTTTAATCTAATGACTTTATTCAGAGGCTATAGGCACCATCACATGTTTGGGTTATAATCTTATTTCTTCCTTTATTCTAGGCCGAGGAGATTGTTGGAAAGATGTGAAAGATGACCTTTATGTCAACGCTATAATTCACGGATTTTCATCAGTATAGATAAGTGAAGATGTTTGACTTTTTCAGAAATATGAAACATTTTTCAAATGAAAAATTTTGTTTGTTCTGAAAAACTGCTTTACTCCTTCATCTTCTGTAACAATCTTTTTGTCAGAAACAATGGAACAGAAACAGAAATATTAAAATGTCTACTATTTAAATATACCACATTTTATTAATTTGTTGTGTTAATATACAAAAAACTTGATTTCCTAAAAAAGAGAATTTTTTTTCTTACACATATTTTTATAGTAAACTTTGTTTTTGCATGTAGGGTTTTCTGTGTGTATCATGCATTTTGTGTCCCTTGCATGGCTTTTATCAGGCATTTTTATGATATATATTTGCTATTTTCAGCTTATAGTGCATCGGAACACATCTAAAAATGTTTTTATTAAATTTGCTGACAAGAAGTGATTTTATTGTGCTGGAAAAACCTTATTCAGAATATAGATTTTAAAGAGGTTTTTAAAATGTCACAATATAAAAACAGAGTAAACATTATGAAAATTGTATAAAAAATCATATGGTTTATCAGCAAAGTTGCAAAGATTATGTTATTCTGTGTAAGGTCTGAAAATTGAAACTAGAAGTACAGTACGTTGACGTTTTCATCATCTGAATTAACTGGACACACCTAATAAATCTCTGTGAGGGAACAATAAAGTTTTATGATCATTTCTTTAATCCTCTCTGTATGTGCACTTCACGGTTCATTTTTCTTCCAATGCAGCTGAAAATCCCATTTGCACCAACCAGCTGGGACAGATGGCCCATCGGATATACAGCAACCAATAGTATTCTTCATTTGAAACAATACCCAATCACTGATATCCTTTCCAATATGCTCTCATCTTAATGATGTATGGATTCTTGATTGATTAGACAAAAAATAAATAAAAAAAACAAACAAACAAACAAAAAAAACGCCTACTTCCATCTTCGTTGTTTCTTAGAGAACTGGTATTCATTTAAGGACATAAAATGAAAAACATACTTGCAGAAAAAGGCTGTTTTCTTTTGAGAACATGTGAAATGAAATAGTTTGAGAGAAAAAAAGGCAGCTTTTGCCGCAAAACTCAGTGTAATTTTAAATGTTATTTTACAGTATATTTAAGTTATTAATAAGACTTAATTTCTAATGGTAAGGGGTGATAATGTTGTGCCCGTGACTGTGCACATGTGTTTATTTGTTTGTTACAGTGTTAGCAAAATATTTCATGAACCAGTAGACATATTTTAAGGAAACTCCCTGAAAGTAATCATTGGATGGACATTTACAACCTCTTAACTAATGGAGTCAACTGAATTCAAGTTGATCAACATTAATCCACACAAAAATGGCTTTAGCTCAGTTAATATAAAATATATTATATTATATTATATTATATTATATTATATTATATTATATTATATTATATTATTAAAAACTTTGACAATATCTGTTAAAGTCAACAGTCTGTTAGCAAACTATCCTGAACCACTGGATACATTTGAGTGAAATTTATTTGCTGCACATCTAAAAGTCATTAACATTCTGATTCTGTTTTATTCAACATCATCAGTGCTTTTTGTAGCCTTTGTTTTTCACAGCAATCTGACTATTTTCTAAATGGTACAATGCATTATAGTAGCTGTCTGCAGGTTTGTGGGAGTGTATGGAGCTCACCCTCTGCATGATCAAACTCATGTAAAATGTGGGGAAAAAAATCAGGTTGCAAAAAAAAAAAAAAAAAAACAACTGAGGCCCGTCACTCACATCTTGTCACTCCAAACCAGATCAGAGCAGATGAACTTCTGGTTTTCAGCCAACATTTTAATATTGCCCAAAGATGAGCAAGTTGGGCATTTGGATTAGAGGGGGTAATCTGTAAATTTCATGTTTTATGTAACTTGAAAAATGTTCATGCTTGGCTAATGTCGACACAAATTATCTGCATGTGTTTTGGCGCAGTGCCACGGTTGGTATAACATCTAAGCTAATGACAAAAAATAAGTTGGCGTGAGGTTCTTGTGCTGTCAGCAAAGCTTTAGTTAAATTCACCATAAAAGGTTAAAAACATTTCTTTACTGTGTTTTGCAGATTTAGGGGATGTACACTGCGATCAGGATCACCTTTGGAGTTTGCATGTTCTATCTGTGCATGTATGGGTTTTCTTTGAGTATCTCTTTTTCCTCCCAAAAAACAAAAATATGCATTTTGGATATTTGGCAACTCTAAATTATCCCTATTTATGAGTGAGAGTGTAAATGCTTGGTCTCCTCTGTCACTTTAATGGACCTTGGAACCTCAGACCTCGCCTCTCTCACAGTGATTGCTGGAGATAGGTACCATGACTTGGAAAGGAGAAGCCAGTAAAGAAAAGGGATGGATGGCTCTCAGGTAGAAAAATGTAAGTAAAATCACTTGTGTGTGTTTGTTCACTCTAAGGGGAACACATTGAATCAGTAACAAACTGAAAGTTCTGCTTATTGCAATAAAATAAAGATATTCTGCCTCACATCAACAACTAAAAGTTATTTACTGGAGTGAAGATAGGAACAATCTTCAAAAGGCCATGGACTGAGGTGAAATTACAACAATATTTAAGAAATTTATAAAGACTTAATTTGTGTATTACCAGAGGTCTTTACTTGAAAAAACTAAGTAAAAGTAAAATTACTTGAACAGAAAATGAGTTTGGTAAAAATAAATTTCACTGATGAGAAAACGACTCAAGTAAAGTCATAAAACTGTGCACAAAAATTGGGAAAGTAAAAGTAAAAGTACTTTTACACTGAATCGAAGAAATAAACTGTTGAATTTACTGAACCAAACTGGTTCCTCTAAGCCAGGTTGAGTAAATTGAACAATATATGTATAATATTTGCTCAGTTTATTCGACTAGACTCAGTGGAGCCAGTTGATATGACTTTGTTGAGTAAATTCAACACTGTATATTTTAGAGCGCAGAAACATCTTCTTTCATGATGCGTTCGAACATATTTAATTTTGTAACAAGTAACTAGGTGTTAAATTTTAAAGTAAAGAAATAAAAATTATAATTTTTAGCTTTAAAAAGTAATGAAAGTATTTAAAAATAATTGGTATACTTACAAATCATCAAAAAAATTAAATACTGTAATGAAGTAAAGTACTTAATTACTATAAACATCTGTGTATTTGTCTCGATGCATCTCAATAATCCAGGAAGAAAATTCTAAAATAATCGGTCCACACCAAAGAAGAACCTCTCCAGAAGACCCATTAATTTAGTTTTTAGAATGTTCTGCATTAATGCAAAACAGTTTGAGCTTCAACTGAGGTCCAGAACCAGTTTTCAGAAGGGTGCAATGGAGAACATTTATAAACTGTTTTAGAGAGATTATAATCTCAAAACAAACCAAATGCAACAAACTAGATCACTATGGGGCTTTTTGAAAAATCAATGTACTTTTTAAGGTTGTCTCCACAGACAAAACAAATACTTTTGTTGGTAATTTTCCAATAAAACCAACTGCAATACCTAAAGAGCTGCACTTATTCGAATAAAGTCAAAAAATGTTTTCTTTATTTTAATTTTCATTTTTTTGGTTTACTTTTTAGTCAGTCTTAAAGAATTTTTCACCAAAGCTGCTCCCCCCTCCCCACACACATTTTCTTTATCAGTAGTAAATTACATATAGGATTTTTGACAGCATAATTGCTTAAATTAAACAAACAACAACAACAAAATACAATGAAACAGACATGGTAAATATATCAAACATAGCCATTCACACAAATAATAATGTCTGCACAGAGGGAGGAGGGACTTTCCGATGGGATTACTTTAGGTCTCTTCCCTCAGTCTGATCCTTTTGGGGAGTTACAGAGAAATGAACTTTGGTTATTTCACAAACTCTCTTCACTGCTTGAAATGTAAATCGGTAAATTCCCAACAAGGAACTCGGGTCAGAGGTCATTAAAGAATCAACACACATTTCAGGAAGCAGAACTCACAAGTTTGAACAACAAAAACAAAGTCTGACTTGTAAGTTTTAAAGATAATAAAATAGAAAAGTTGTGTTTAAGAGTTGCACATAAACATGTACAAACAAGCACTAATATTGATTGAGTTCATGTTTTGATTTCAGTCTAAACATCAATCTCACCACAAGGTAAATAAAATAGCTTCAGCTCACTGTCTTTTCCCACAGCCCAGCATGTTTTAGCTCCCAAGCAAAAGTTTGAAAATTAACACACAAATCTTAATTAAACAGACGTCATGATGAGATTGACTTGTTTAAAGGGACAGTTCAGATCTTCTGAAGTGGGGTTCTGTGAAAAAGCAAATAAAAATATCTTACTTGTTGAAGAAAGATCTTTGGATGACCTCATTTTGGAAAAAAAAAACAGAGTTTGATGAATTGATAAGCTAATGGCTATTCCAGCCCCAGTTAAAAATAAACATTTTTTTTTAGAGTGGAGACGTTTTAAGATTGCCAAATGTCCTTTTCAGACTTATTGTTAGCTCACTGATCTGATCAAGATTGAACTCCTTTTTGTCTCCAAACTGACATGATTCAAAATGATACAACAGGTAAGATATTAACTGTTCACAACCGTTCCACAGAATTCCACTTCAAAAGATCTGAACTATTTCTAGGTAAAATTCGATGACTTCATCCTTTTCTGCTCCAGTCTCATTTTGAGCTCTGAAACCAGCGCTTTGTTCATCGTGTTTTGTCTGTCCAGCTTCTTTTTAGGTTTGGGCGCCACCGACGCGGAGACCGTCGGTACGGTCCACTGCCGCTCTCTGTGGACGTAGCCGGGTGGTGGAGGGGGCAGAGACGGGGCGCAGGGCGGTGGAGGCGGAGTCCAGTGTCTCACGACTGCGGGGACGTTGTTGTTGCAGTTCACGTTCTCCACAAGAACCTCCGGCTCCTGCTCCTCCTCTTTAACTCGGAACTTCTCTCTGGTGGCTGACGACGTCTTCAAGGGGTTTCTGAAGTTCCAGAAGGGCGGTCTCTGTGGTCTTTTCCGTATTCTGCGGGCAGGCAGGATCCGGTTGGACTTTTTGTTGCGCATGAACGTCGCAGTGGAGATGATGACAGTGACTATAACCATGAAACTGATAATACCAGCAAGCATACCAATGATTTGCAATGGGTTGTTTTTATTCAGCATTAAAAATGATCCCAAAGGCCCCCATTCTGTAGTCTGTAAAAGAGCACAAGGAGAATTCACATCTATGGTACTGAAATCACACAATTCTTTTTAAAGTTTTGGTTAATACTATATTTGTATTGTCCAACTCCTGTTAAAGATATTATAGAAGAGCCTATCTCTTTTTTACAACTGTGTTCAAAATAATGATCACACATTAAATCTCTTTTGCTACATTTTGTCAAGACAAGATCAGAGAGGTTCATGGAGGAACCCAGGATAGCTGAGACCATTCAGCATCTGAGAGTGAAGCTGACAATAAATAAAATCCAAAACTAAAAAGTGTAAATATTGTTTTAATATGTTTTGGGGTCAGAATGCATGCCCTAAAAGATTGTAATTGGGAAAAATATATATTTTTTGGATTATATTGTGCTCTTACATGTGCTCTTTTACAGACAGTTTTGCTTTTTCTTTGGAAAATGGGTCATTCTTGAAACCACAGAGTAAAACCAGCAGTACTGTTGTGCTGATGATCTCAAGGCAAGCTTCGTTTACGGCACAGGCCTCCGTGCAATCTTTCTGATCTTGCCGTGAGGTTGTACACGGGTCTTTTTCACAGATTTCCAGTACATAACAGTTGAAATGACGATTGTCAGTGAAATGGTGAACATCACAAGGGTCAAACAAATCCCAAACACTGTCCCTGGACGCTTCCTTAGGCCCAGGAAGTATGAGAAAAACCTGGATTTGACCTGGAAACATTACAATAGAATTGATGAGATATATCGGACTGTGGATTTTCAAATGTTTTCTCAAGCTAATCTAGTACTGTATATACTGTATAAAAGTAATACTGTGAACTGTCACACAGGATTATTCGTTTAATTCTTTAAATAAAAGCTCAGCATATTTATTTATGTAAATTTATTTATACACAAGTTTATAAAATTATGTTTTTAAAGTAACATTTGGTCTTTTATTTTAAGAAGATAAACTAAACATATTGAGTTCATTGTATGAATGTTAATTTAACAGTCTCACTAGTGTTTTTCTGTTTTTTATTTTTCCAATATTGTTTGTAATTTAAGTACTTCTACAGACTGTCCTATTTGAACTAATCATATGAAATCATTCAGATGAATTAGGAGATAGGTGCTAATACTTTTGGCTTTTGTAACTTTAAAACTTTTCAAAATTTTATTTACATATTTTTAAGATCTCTTCAATTCCTTTAAAAACATTGCTGTTTTAGAAATATATTTATTATATTTATTATTTACCAGTAGTTTGTAGCTTCTGATCTCCAGCTCACAGATTTAGAAACCAAGCTGCTACTTTTATTAACTTACTTTTAACTTTGAGCTATTGTTTTGTTTTTAGTTTCTAGCTAGTATTTTGGTACTTTTTTTTGCTACATTTAGCCATTCTTGCTACCTTTGCTACTTCTAAATATTATTTATTTTGTGTAGTAGTTTTTAGTTAGTATTTTGCTTCTTTTTGCTTTAAAAACTTAGTTCCAGCTTCTTCAACAAACTTCAGCAGTCATTCAGCAACTTCACTAGTTGACAGTTTTTCAGTGTTAAATTTAATATATCTAATGATTAATTTCCTAAATATTAAGCAAAAATCATTAAAAAAGCATAATTTGCTATCATTTGAAAAACCACTGACACAGCCTGAACATTATGACTTACAGCTTCAGTGATGTCGATCTTGACGACTGCAGTGGTGCTGAAGGACGGCTGCCCTTGGTCCCGGGCCTGGACCACCAGGGACCAGCTGCAGTCTCTCTTCTTAGTGATGTTCTGAATGATGGCCATCGACTTGATGAAGGACTTCAGTTTGATTTCTCCCGTGTCAGCATTAATATCAAAAATGTTGTTGTCCGGCTCAGCTTTCATGATGGTGTACTCGATAACATTGTTTGGTACTTCTGCATCATCGTCCACAGCCTGTGGAGAGGGCTCCATTAATAATGAAATTACTTAGATTTTCTCTGAGTTTAAAACTACACAACAGCGTTTACCTCTATTTTCACTGGAGCTCCAATCACCATGGTCTTCTCAAGGAAGTTATTATTGAAAGCAGGCGGATGGTCATTCAGATCCAGCACGGTCACAAAGACTTCAGCCAGGCTGTATTTTCCATCCGCATCCTCTGCCTTCACATAGAAGTTATACTTCGACCTCACCTCAGCATCCAAGCTTGCCCAAGGCTGGGTGTAAATAATCCCAGATGTCGGCTGGATCAGAAACCTGCAAAGAATGGTACGTTTTTCTTAATTCACCATATACAGTATATATAAATATATATAGTATTTTGCAGAGCGTTGCTTCACAGAGTAATGCACATTTTATGAATACATCTTTATAACAATTACGATATTCAAAAATATATAAATTTTTACACAATATATTTGAAAAAAGTTATGTAAAGACAACAAAGTAAATGTTAGATTGAGATTCGGTAAAATTTCATCAGCTAGTTTTGACTTTGACACTGAGAACACATCTCAAAAATTTGTCAAATACAAGATAATTCGGTGCCGCTAACACTCAGTTGTGCTTCTTTTATGCACAATTCACAGGCATTTAATGATCAATGTTTCAAAAAGCCTAATTCTTTCTAAAGCTGAACTCAAAAAGAGTTTGGTTCTAGTAAAAACTGAGGTAAGTAAATAACTTTCCTGCAGAATCACTGTCTTCTGATTTAATGCTCATGTGTCAAACTGAAGGTAAGCGGGCCAGATTAGGTCCTTTTTTATGCATGCCTGGAAGTGTATGTGTGCATTTATTTTACTTTATTATTTATTTGAAAGATTGTGGGGAAAAATCAATTAAGATATAATTTTATAATATCTCAAGATGAAAAATCTGAGCTTGGCTGCTGACGAGCATCATTGCTCTCAGCCCTTTAGCTTACCATCAGTGAAATATTTTATAAATCATGGATGTATTTTATTTGGAGAAAAAATGAAAAAAATCCAGAAAGCCTCTTGAAAAAGTGAAATGACTTTGACATGACCAATTTATTATGACTTTAAACAAGATCCAAAAATGTAGTACAATGGTTGTTTCTACAAAGAAAGACAAAGCACAATTCTCTGTTATATTGCTAGGTTTTACAGAGACCCTTGACATTAACTCTCAAATTTCAATGGACTTGTGTTTCACTGTCCCATCACGATAATTTTATTTTACAACTTAACAAAAAATGTGTCCTTTTCATTTACAGACATGTTTAGCTGCCCTGCAGTGACTTTGTTGTAGTGTAAGGTACCCAGAAGCAAAGAGCAGTCTATTTTCTCCTCCAATCCTATTAGAGGATTAAAACAGACCCAGAGCGAGCCAGCAGAGATACAAGCTGTGTACTGCTGCACTCGTCCAAATCATCTGCAACATTTTTATAAAACTGTGCAAAAAGTTGTAAACACAAACACATCAAACAACCTATTTTTGCTTCAAAGCAGCATTTTGAGAATAATCTGAGAAGACACAACCTCAGAATGATTTTGATTAAACTAGCATGAACTAAGCTTTATGTTCCAAATCTCTCTCTCTCTCTCTCTCTCTCTCTCTCTCTCTCTCTCTCTCTCTCTCTCTGCTGGTTATTTTGGAAATCCTTCTGTATGCCGTGTGACATCTCATATCTGCTTAAACTTATTACTGCAGAGCTTAAAACCTACAACAAATATTCAAGACAACATTTGCCACCTATATGATTTCATAAAATGAGATACTTGAGTGTTTACAGTTCAACATCATGGATGATAACATATTCACATGTTTGTGAAATAGAAATAGAGACAAATAGAGAAATATATTTCCTGTAAATTTTGTTGAATGTGGTTACATCGGCAATAAATGATACCTCTTTTATAATATAGTGTATTATTTATTAAACCAAACAAATCCCATTTAGATCTTAGATCTATTTTCCAAAGAAAACTTGGACCTAAAGCCAGCCTAGATATGATTTGTTTTAAAAAGGATGTAAGCAACGTGTTCACTACCAGAGAACATAGTTTTATTTTTTACAAGAAAAATGATACACTTTTACCCGAAAAGCAACACATTAAACCAAACTAAATTTTACTATAATAAAACAAAATGGCTTATTTTTTGTCATAATTTTTCTGTGGCCCCCGATAGCTCCAAAGATGTATTAATGTCTTAAAATAAGCCTATGTTGCTTTAAAGCCATAATGCATGTCGATTATTTTACCTGTAAAATGGCTGCATCTCACCACTAGGTGGCGGGTTCAAAAGTAGCCGGCAGCTGGTGAAACTAACTGTGTTTATTCTCTAATTCATTGCATTTTTGCAGGTTACTTTTGCTGCAACCCAGTTGTACTGGGAAATGGGAATTTCCTACTTACAAGTTGCAAATTTATTTATTAACACCCATCCAGTTGGAATTACCTGTCGTAAATTGGGAGAGTTCAGAATTCAAGATGGCAGCTACTCTCTACAATTCAACAGCGAGTAAAACTCTCAATTTTTAACAACATTTTTGAATTTTTTTTTCACATTTAGTCAGTCGTATTTGCAGTACTTATGAGAGGACACATTAAAGCACTGGATCTATGTACAAAATACCACAAAGAGCTCAGTTGTTGTTTTTCAGCTGTAGCAATGAGGCGAGGAGCATGATGTTTTGTCTTTAGTCAAAGTTAAACACAAAACATTTAAGTGAAATACAACTGTCTCTTTGAAAGCAACTATGTATGTTTGACACCCCTGTTTTACAGAGCCTTATTGTAGTCAGCCAGGACTCTGCAGCTAAAAATACGACTTCCTATTTCAAAAATAAAAACTTAGTTGTCTTTTCTGGAATATTTTGTTCATCTCTTACCATCAACAGTGTTAACAGCTCCTTTCATAGGTACACAGTCATGATGCAACAAGTTCTCCTGCTATATGTATGTATATATATA